CTCTGGCCAGGGCTGGGTGTTCCCCCTCCTCACTCACCTGGTGAAACCGCACGAGGATATTGGAGAGCTGTATTCTGTCCGGCAGCGGCAGAGGGAAGCCCTGATCTAACCTGGCTGGAAGAGACAACACACGTGGCCACATTGGGATGGGAACGGGAGCAAGAGGGAGCACGGGCCATGCAAAGCAGGCGGCCACCTCCTCCGCCCGGCCCTTTCTTCACCCCCGCTGCTCCCAGGGTCGGCAGAGAAAATTCCTCCCAAGCTCCACAGAGGGGCTGGGGGCTGCACGTTGTGCTGTGCCACCCCACCGGGCCCCTGGCAGCCACCAGCCCCGCTCTGGCCCCATTTGCTGGGGAGTCATGAGAAGCAGCGAGCAGGGGAGAGGGTCTGGAAAGCATTAGGATGTGCGTCGTGCTCGTTTTTTCCATTGAGTTCACTGCTGGATGCACGTCACAGCACCGAGAAAGGCTCCCGCACGCCGCTGCCCACAGCCTGCCTGCGCCGGGCGCTTTTACTGCTGTCTCCTGCACTCACTGCAGGCTTTATCCACAGATCAGGCTTGGCAACAGGGATTTAATTATTGAGCTGGGCCCGCTTGGATGGAGCAACCTGGCCGGCAACTACCCCAGCACCCCCATTCCCCCCAGCAGATTCTCACCATTAAGACGCGGGAGCAGGATACTGGAAGCAAATATGTTCATTATGGACTGCAGCGTTCGCACCTGGGGAGCGGAGAGAGGGGGACAGAAAAGAGCTTTAGCCTGCGGGACAGCAGGTGACCAGGCACTGGGGGATAATTAGGAGAAGAAAAAGAGATGAGGAGCTGGGATGGGCACACGTTTCGCCAGAGGCCAGCGGCTTTGTCTGGCCACGCTGGCGAGGTAGGAAGCATAGGGGTGAGAAAGGCAATGGCATCTGGCTCTGCATCCTCTCCCAGTCTCGCAGGCTGAGGCAGGAGGCGTCCATGGGGTCAGCGTGGGGTCCTGGGTGCACCCCCAGGTCCCGTGTTGGGGGGCAGGGGGGAATGAGCCCTCTCCTTGGCCCCCAGCAGGCTCTCGCCTCCATGCTGGTTGGGGGCTCTGGTCATGGCCAAGAATAGCATACCTGGAAAGTGCCAACATCCGAATGCTTCAGAGAGAGCTTCATCCTGCGCAGACAGAAGCGGTGCTGTGAAGGCTGTCCCAACGGAGGGAGCAGTTCCCACCTCAGTGCTGCCTGTCGATGGCCGTACCGTTCCCGCTCCCTCCAGCCCCAGCTCATCCCCTCTGCACTGGGTCCCCATCCCCAGGGCCTCCCCACCTCACCTCTGTCCCTGGGAGCCCGGAACAGAAGCAACCCCCAGCCAGCCCCCTGCGCTGCTCCCCCTCCATACCTGCCCACCTTCAGGCTTCCAACTATGTGGCCGGATTTCACATCGATGACGGCGGACACGTTGCCTGTCTGGGGAGAGAGTGCAGAGCTCTGGCAATGCTCACCCCACCTCACCCCAAACCAGACACCCAGGGGAACAGCTCTGACCAGCCAAAACGCAGCGGGACCACTGCCCGTCCAGGGGCATGTTTGCACGCAGCATGAAACCTGGCATTTGTCAGCTCAGGTATTTTTCTGTTGGGGACACCCCCACTGCACCAGGACTGGGCTGGTTTCGGACAGTGTCCGGCACCTCTCCTGGCAGGAGCTCGGCAGCAATAGCTCAGCATTGATGAACGCGGCAGCAGGATGGGGCACAGCTCGAACTCCCATCTTTGCCCTGCTGAGATGCAGGGGAGAGCTCACCGACCTCCCCGCGTCAGCCAGAGCTGTGGCTGCACTGGCAGCTGCCCAGCCAGGACCACAGTCACCACCGCAGGCTGTGCCTGAACTCACCAGGCTGAGGAGGAAGAGAGGAGCCAGGCTGGAGTTGGGAAGGATGGCGTAAGCCTGGATATCCACGACAGGCTTGAGTGAGAGCCCCCCTGGTCCGATGTTCAGGAATGGGGCGGAGGAGGCGGACAGCCTGAGCTTCATCAGCATGTCTGGGTACATCTTCTCTAGCTGCAGAGGAGCAGGGAGAGGGTAGGGACAGCGGCACAAACCCCCGTTCCTGGGGGAGACCACCTTGCACAGAGCAAACCCCGAGCTGTGCATGGCAGGAGCTCCGGGGAGGCAGGGCTGGACCACTCACCTGGGGAATGAAGGCTGAGAAGGTGGAGGTGTTCAAGTGGATGTCAATGCCCTTTGGGATCTGTGGGGGGAGAACAGTCACATCGGGGCAATACGGCGCGGCGGAGCCTGCGGCGAGATCAGCCTTCCCGCCCCAACGCGCTGCCGTGCCGGATGGCCGCAGCCCCATCCCGCAGCCCCCAGCTCTCAGCCTCCAGGCAGCTCGTCGGGGAATCTGGGGGAACCCTCCGAGACCACAGGCTGTACCAGAGCTCCTGTGCAAATTGAACCCCCTGCCCGGAGGCGCGGGGACAGCCACCATCCCACCTGCGCTGCTCACCAGGGAGTCTGTGATTTCGAAGACCAGTGCCCCGGCTCCATGGTAGGCAAAGCCGGCTGTGTTGAAGAAGTAGCTGGAGACCCCGAAGTAAACCATGCGGTCGTGGTCCGGGGGAAAGGCCAGCGCTAGCGGAGGGAAGGGGACGGCAGAGCGGTGGGCCAGGGAGAAGAATTCGCCCTGGGAGGAGAGAGAGAGGTGAAGCAGGAGAGCAGAGGGCGGTGGGACTCACCCGCTGACCTGAGCTGGGAAACAGCATTTGCAGGAGGTACCTAAACCTGGTTCCCCGCCCGCCTGCAGCCATGGCATCAGCTTCCCACAGCAGCCTCTCACCTTCAGGTCCACATCCAGGGACTGGGCGGTAGTAGTTGGGGGTGCCACCAAGGAGTAATCGATGCCAGCCACGGCATCTATCCTGGCTGTGACTGTAAAACACGGGACAGACGGATGAGCGAGAGGGAGATGGCACAGGACAGCCGGGAGCAGATTGCCTCCGCTGACATCCAGGCAGTGCTGTTCCCCGGCTTCCCGGCGCACAGCTCAGTACCAGCTTCATGGGCGCTTGCTTCTGTTTAGAAGCAAAAATCACATTTCCCTCCCGACTCTGTTTCTCAGCCATGCAGACTAACTCCCGGACCTGAGGAACGGTCTGGGTCCCCTGACTAAGGCAGGCTGTGCTCCCGCCAGCTCCGGGGCACGGCTTGTCAGAGGCTGCGTGCGCCGGACGGGGTGCACAGTGACAAGTCTCTGCTGATACAGTGTTCCCCAGCTCTCAACTTGGGTGCAGAAATACAAGGAAATGGGGAGTGGGCACAAGGTAAAGCACTGTCCTCACGGCTGGGAAATGCTAGGAAAAAACGCTCCTAAAACCCTGTGCAGCCCCCGCCTCGTACCTGGCAGGGTCCGGAGGTAAGGCTGGAGCTCGCTGCGCACAGAGCTGACCACATTCTCGCAGACCTGCGGGAAAGAAAGGCAGCGAAGCTGAGCCAGGGCAGCTCTGCCAAGGGCGGACGGTTCACATCCCCCGGGTCAAAGCCTCAGCCGCGCTCTCTGCTTTGCTGCCCGGTGCCGTTTTTATTCCTTGCAAAAGCCCGCTTAAGTAAAAGAGCACACAATGGCGTTTGTCTCTACTCATCAGGCAGCACATTAATTAAGTGTCCAAGATAAAAGCAGGGTTTATACCTGCAAACATCTGCTTGCAGCAAGCTCCCCACCCACAGTTCAGCTCCATGGAGGCCCTTAGAAGGAATCTCACGTGTGCTCTCAGATTTTTCCTACGGCCCATGCTGGAATGAATTGTGCTGAGCAGCCAAGGCTTAGCCCAAGCAGAGCAACTGAAAGAGTTAGCCCACCCCCGCAGGGGCAGGAGCACTAATTGCACCGGCAAAGCAGAGCTATCCTGAGTTCCTACAGCTCTGTGCTGCCAGGACAGAAAAGCAAATCCCTCTGCCGCTGTCACCCACGGGTGAAGCCTCAGCATTAGTGGGGAATTTAATTGCAGGCTAAACACTGACCCCAAAAATTTACTGCAGGGCACAGTCCTGCAAACGGCTGAGATAATCTGCACAAGCTCTCTTCCAATGCTTTCCCCATAATAGCACAGAAACCGCCAGGCAGGATCAGGCCATCATCTGTCTGACCGGGCATCCAGCCTGCAGCAGCTGATAGCGAGATGCAGAGCTCCGACGAAGGAGCAGCGACCGTGCTATGTAGCCGCTGGCTGTGCAGCACCAGGGAGGAAGAGGAGGGACAGAGCCTTGGGATGGCCTTATTGACAGAGGGTTGCTGCTTTTCCCTGTGCCCAGCCGATATTCGTCTGTCTGTCCTGGAAATGCCCCATCGCTGCCTGGGAGGACGGAGCTGCAGATGGACAAACACAGCCCTGATCCCAGTGACCGGGGTCTCCCAGCGACCGGGTGCCCCTGGCACTGGGGCACGAGGACTGTCCAGGCTCATGCAGCGAGAGCAGGAGGCAGACGTGGGCTGCCAGGGCCGGAGCTGGGTTGGGACCAGGCTGTGCCTTGGGGTCCCGGTGCAGCGCACTCCCAGCCCCTGCCCTTTCCTGCCCATTGCCCCTGGCGCCATCTCACACATGGAAAAAGACACTGAGAAATGTGCATTGGGCAAAGGGGAGTTGGACATGCTGCAGGAGAAGCAGAGGTCCCCTCAGAGTCCCAGAACCACGCTCCTTCCAGGAGGCAAAACAGCAGAAAAGGCATCTGAGCCCCAGCTTCACTCCTCCTGCCAGCCCATCTGCTGCCACCGCTCCCAGAGGCTTTGGGAAAGCCACTACCTGGCATCGGGAATAGCGCCCAGGCAGGGTGGGATCTGCTGCAGGAGTGGGATTTGCCTGTTCTCCAACTGCTTCCTTCCTGAGCAAGGTTCACATCCAGGGAGGCTGTAACTCGTGCCAGTTAGGCTTGTAGTAATTATAGCTAACAGCTTGTTTCCATGTCTTGCTGCAGGTCTCCTGTATGTTGGCTTTTGTACCGGGTGGACGGTACCAGGGCCTCCCTGATGCATCCCGTTAAAACAAGACGGCAGGCATCTGAAATCCAGCAATGAGAATTTCTCCCCCCTTGCTCCCCAAAGCACACAGGAGTGCGGCCATTTAAAGGACAGCTCTGATCAGGTTTCCTCTGTTACAGTGAGTTTGGCCGAGGCATAAGATCTAATTAACTGACCACATGGAAAGAAAAGTCTTTGTTAATTAGGAACCAATTACGCTGGGCTTTGGCAAAGGCTGCAGGTTTCGAATTCAGCCCGAGCCATATGATGCTGCAGGGACTGCAGTTAGCGATGCCCATTCCTCTGGTTTTCACCAAAACGGCAACGTGCCCGTGTGCTCTGGCTCTAGTTAAATCCCTCTGATCCTTCTAGCACATCAGCTACAAGTGAGGGCTAAAGACCACCAGAAAAACCCAGAGCTCTGCCCTCCTTCACTCACGTACCTTGCTCTCCAGGATCTTCCGGAACCTGGACTCAATAGCGCTGTGGAAGAGGTTATAAAGCCATCTGCAGAGAACAACAGAGAGGAGTCCTTCTTTAGCTCAGAGGCTGCTGCAGAAGTATTTGCCAGGAAAGGGAGATACTAGAGATTCCGGAACACTGGGGAACATCGTTCCCATACCAGTTTGGTGTCTAGCTTTGCCTCAGGGTTTACATTTGCAAATGGATCTGCTTGTAAACCACGTGCACGCAAGTCTAGTGACTGCCTTAAATCTCCCTTAAACGTGCAGCCACAGCAGGACAAATTCAGGCCAGATTTAAGTTCATCCAGTTGCCTCTCTGGATGAGAAGCATATTACAAGCGTCCAGAGACAGCTGACTAGTGGTGTGCCAGTGCAGGCAGCCTGCGGGCAGAAGGGGCAGCCTCCAAGGGACTGCAGATATGCCAACGTCTTATTTCTTGCACCAGGGCCTGGAAGCCACGTCCCATGGTGGACAGGCTAACACACAGCGTTTGTGGGCCTGCACGGTAAAGTTACGTACCCAAACTTGCCCGAAAAGTGTACCCGGACATTGGAGATGCGGGTGCTGCAGTCAGAGGTGTCAATGGTGGGTTTCCCGGAGGCGTCGCTGCCCAGCTTCAGGTTGATTTTGATATAGATGTTCTCCACCTTCAGGTCAAACGAACCGTGGTCCCGGCTGCAGGGAGAGGAAGATGAGGAAGGGACATTTCTCAGTGCCAAGTCCTGGTGAAGGGACCCCAAATCACCTTTGGGACGGACCTATCTAGCTCAGGCTCTCCCTTGTACTGAGCATCCAGAAGAGACCAGGAAAGTTTTTAAACTCAGGGAAACCAAATTTCACTGGAACATAGACTAGGAGAGGTAACCTTTAAATAGAGAGAGCCGAGAGCAAGTGAGGGAGATGGGAGAGAGGAGAGCTGATGCACAGCTCCTCCATCGTCCACCTTGTTCTTGCCTCCTACCCTGCTTTATCCATCTCGGTGGCTGTACAAGCGGCAGCGATGTCTGCCCACCCCCAGTCCCAGCTCAGGTCTGTCCCTGCAAGTGCTCAGGAAGGTGCTCCCCAGTGCAAGCAAGTGGGAGGGACTGTCCCTCACACCCCCAGGTTCCACAAGAGGGGAGATGGCTTTCATGTCGTCTCCCCAACCACTTGCAAGCAGGATAAACACTGCCTGGCCAGCTCTGAGGACTCCTGGCATGGAGGGAGACCTGGCAGGGCTCCCGCAGGGTGAGGGGCTCCCAGACGTGCTTCGGGAATACAGTGGCTGCAGCCCAGCTGCAGGAAAGACAAGTCAGCACATCTGGAGAGAGCAAAGCAACAGCTGCCAGGACACAAGGGAGAGGGAGAGGGGAAAAAACCTGTCCAGACCCAGAGAGGGAGACACAGAGTGAAGCGTCCAAGCAGGGAGAGGGGGAGCCAGGCACGCACATGAAGTGTATCTTCACCCGCCAGTTCCCATCCACCTCGGCGAAGGCGTTGGAGATGGAGACCTGCAGGCCCACGTTGGGGACCAGGGAAATCCGCGAGTACGGCAAGTGGAAACTGCGAAGGTCCAATCTAAAAATTAATTAAATAAATAAATAATGAGAGAAAACGCACTTGAGAAGGGGTGCCTCGCCCCCGGGCACACGGCTGGAGAGGGAGGGAGAGGGGCCACCGCGCCGGCAGCATCCCCAGCTCCCGTCCTGCCGCAGCAAAGCGATGCCTGGCAGGGACGCACACAGCAAAGCGGCGCCTTTGGAAACGTGGTCCCTGCAGCCGCCCAAACAGCGGCTCGAAACCCTGAGCAGTGGGAGCATAGAGGTGCAACGGGGCAGCAAGGAGCTGGGATCTCCACAGGGGCTGGGCTCCTGCTCCATGGGGGGGGACAGGCACCCTGCTGCCGTGGGCAAGGCCACCTCCACCGCCTGGGCTTCAATTGCGCAAAATCCGCCTGCACCAAATGCCGTCACCCCAGTTCCCTTTTTCCCCTTTGGGCAGGAGGGCAAAGCAGGAGCATCTCTGCCTGCACCGAGGACAGGGTCAACATCTCAGGGAGCTGTGGAGCGGACAGGATGGTCCTTGCTGCTCCGGGGGCTCCCCATCCTCCCCCACCCCTCCTGCCCCTCGCGTGGGCTCGGGGGGCAGCGAGCCACTCTGGGGTGCTGGCAGGGCTCACCTGGAGATCTCATAGCGCACCTTGCCCACATGCCGGATGCGAAAGTCACCCGAGATGTCCGGCAGCTTCAGCTGGGCCAGCTCCTTCTCCAGGACCGCGATCCCCTGCTGATGGGCTGCAGGGGCAGAGGGAGAGCATCACCACCACGTGCTTTCTGCAGGAGCTGGGAGCATGCACCGGGCGCACAGCGAAAGGTTAAAGGAAACATCCAGGCAATGGCCTGGCTGCTTTCCACCTCCCAGGCTATCTTTAAAGCTAATCTCCATGCACAGAGCCCTGTGAGCACACTGGCTAAGCTGCCCGCTTGCCCCAGGGGAAAGTGGTGGCCAGGCTGCACAGAAAGGAGGAAGAGGTCCCAGTGCTCGCTCTCTGGGCTGGGCACTGTGCGAGGTGTTCAGGAGGTCCTGGGCACCACGCCGCTCCATGTCCAGCGCCGGCAGGCAAAGCTGGATGGAGCACACGTCCCAGGGAGCAGCACAGCGTGAGTGGGTGCTGCATCCCTGCATCCATCTGGGAAGGGGAGTCACGTCCTCTCCCGCGTGGCTGGCAGAACTGCCGGGTAAATGAGCTGTTTCTCACACAGTGTATTTCAATCCATAACAGCGCTCCGCTGGAGCCGGGGCTCTGCCTGCCTCAATAAAACCAGCGTGGGGCCCATCCATCTCCGTCACTGCCCTCCCCTGCAGCTCCCCACCTCCTCTCCTCCGTAGCTCACTCCTCCAGGGCTCAGGGCTCGGCTGCCCAAACATGTGCCATGAGAGCAGAACCCTCCCACCCTGCCAGCCCTGCGCCTTCCCAGACACCACCTGGGCGCAGCCCCCCCCGAGACCCCCGCAGGGCCGGGCCCCTCTGCAGGGGCTCCATGAAGGTCGTGGTGGGGGCAGATGAGCGCACCAGTGGGAAGCCCCAGGCGATGGTACATTTGGCACCCGTGGCCGAGGCTCCCCCCATCCTGCCCCAGGACCCCACGCTCCCCAAGCGAGCACCCAGCTCTGCACCTTGGCCACCAGCACACCTGCAAGGAGGGAAATCAGAAGCTGAACCCACCATAGTCCAAGCCCGCCTGGGTGATCCTCACCACGAAGCCAGGGTTAGTGGCCCCGGTGAGTGCCAGGCACAAAGCCAGCACCCCACAAGCCACCGCCAGGCTCTGCGCTCCCATCCTGGCTGCCCCGTGGTGCCGCACTGCTGCCAGGCTCTCCCTGCCCACACCACCTTTATATCTGTGCCAAAACGGGAACTGTGGGCGAGGGAGGCGTGCAAAGCCACTGCCGCAGCCCGCACGGGGCGTCCCCCAGAGCCCCAGGGCTTCCTGCTTGGCCACTGCCCCACTCCTCTGCCCTGGTGGCACCCGCACCTATGGCATGGCACACCTTTCCTCGCAGGCAGGGAGGAAACTGGGAGGCGACAGCTCAGTTTTCAGCTCTCCATCTGGTGCAAACAGTCCCTGCCTGCAGCAGAGGCAGGTGCTCAGTGAAGCAGACCTGCTGCGGGCACAGGTTCCGCTCTGCCAGCTGTGTTCGATGGGGCTATGTTGTCACCGCATGCTCTGCCTGCTCGGCTCTGCCTTTGCCAAACAAAGGCTGGGAACAGCCCGGGGTGCCCCCAAGCTGTCTGCCAGCCCTGCTGCCCCCCACCCCATCCCACAGGGCTCCTGGTCTGCTCTGTGCTCCTGGGCATTAGCTGCTGCTATCACAACATAGACTGCCAAAGGCACCGGTTGTAACGTTACCAACAGAGCAGCCTTGGGGCACAGCAAGGGCTAAAGAAAGCAAGTTATGGTTTCTCACCCCACGCGAGCAGATCCCAGAGTGCCCCCACACCCAGCAGGGCTGGTGAAGGGGCCCCTGCCTGCACTGGGCGGCCGCAGCGGGGCTCTGGGGGCAACTAAATCAGCAGGGTGCCCTGTGCCTCCAGCCCCAGGCACGGGGCTCCATCACAGAGCAGCCGTGCATAGGAGGAGATGTCCGGAGCACCAGGAGCAAGCCACAGATGCAGCACTTCTGGGGCCCTGGCATGCCACAGCTCTTGGGCTCACAACATCTGGAGACGGGTGTGGGAGCTGGGTGCAGCCAGGCAGAGGCAAGGGGGCAGCACCCCCGTGATCCCCAACGGGGAGAGAGGGGCTGGCCGGACCCTCCCCGCAGGCTGCAGGACAGAGGTGGGGGAAGAAGAAATGATTTAAGTAACTTTCATTTCCCATTGGGGAAGCGGCAGGACCAGGCACAGGAAGCCCACAGCAGCTGATGCAGGCAGATCTCATGCTGGATTCAAGGAAGTCCTGGTTGCCAGAGGCAACATCCCTGAGCCATGCACTTGTGAAATGCAGCTATTGCTCAAGCACAGCCGCCAGCATGGCCATGCCCTGCGGCACTGCAGCCCCAGGAGGCCCCAAGGGACAGGGTGAGCGGAGCCCAGGGTGTCTGTGCTGGAGGAACCTGGCGTGTGGAGGATCGGGGCTCTTGGATCCACTCTGCCTTTCTTCCCCAGGGTTTCAGTCAGGGGCACTTGCAGGCTGCCTGGCAGACACACAGTAAACACCCACCAGACTTGCACGCCTGGCTACAGCTTTGGACAGCGGCACCGGAGTCATCATCAGCTCTTGGACCCAGGGCAGGAAAACAAGGACACAGCAACCCAGCAGGTCTGGTGTTGACGGTGCCTGCCAGAGAGGGACAAACAGCCCAGAGAAGAGCCAAGTCCCACTGGCACCCAGACAGCATCCACAGACTGCGATCCTCCCATCAGTGCTGGCCCCAATCCATCCCTGGGGGCCAGGAGACCATGGGCAGAGCTCATTTTGCCCAGAGAGAAGAAGCCAAGAGCAGAGGAGCAAGTTAAAAGGCCAAATCCCCACTTGCAGCCTCTGCGGTGCCATGACCTTGCCGCTGCCTGTCATCAGCGCTTTGCTGGGTCTTGCTCAGTGCGGAGGAGAAGCTCCCCAAACAGCATCCATGACACAGCATCTCAGCAGGGCTGTTTCGAAACAATATTTAAGACATTCAGGACAAGCACTGAGGAACCAGAACCTCTTCCATGAGGAGAAATGAAATTTTATGGGGAGCAACACAGAGAGGAAGCAAAACTAGAAAGTCTTCCTTCTGAGTTTGAGCAAATTTTAAAGTTGAACTGAAAAAACCCTTCAAACAACATGAACCCTGACCAAACATTCTCATGTTTGGCAAGGAACAGCTGAAACGACATCTAACACCTGACGCTGCAGGCTGGTCCTGGTAGGGTTTCATGTGAGGGATGACAACAGGGAGTTGAGCATGAAATCCTGCCCTGCCCAACCTGACCCTTCGGAGCGGAAAAGACTTCGCCTGACAGGTGGCTCCACTGGGGAAGGACTGGTCCCCCCAGGGCTGCTGGAGCTGGGCTGGGGTTTGCCAGGCTGTACGTGCAGGAAAGGGCCATCTTCCGATGGGAGCCAAGAGGCCAGGAGGGCAGGGAGCTGCAGGAGGTCCATCTCCTGCGCTGCTGGCTGTCCCCCGCCCAGGGCTGTGGGTCAAGAACCCCTCCCTGCTGTCCCCAAGCCACCCCCCGCTCCCCAGGTCAGGGTTTCCTCTGGCCCCACACGCTCCTCAGCACGTATGGGCAGTTCCCAATCTTGCCCACAGCACTTTCTGTATCTCTTGTGTGATGCAATGGCCCAAACCACCCTGCAATCGGGTGCTGTGGCCCCCCACGGGACCTCAGGCATTGGGCTGTGGCTCTGCTCCATCCCCAGCAGTCGCCAGCTTGGGTCCGCTGCTACACCGAGCCCCTTCCCAGGTAAGCACCCGGTAAGGGCTGGCTGCACCCCAGCTGTCCCCGGGATGGCCTTTGGCAGATGCAGGGCAGCGCGGCAGGCGTTTTTTGAGCAAGGACACCCAGTCACATTTGCCTTCTGCAAGGAAATCTATCTGCATCTGTTGCCTGCGGTGCCACAACCGCCCTGGGGAATTCCCCGGGGCCTGGGCAGCGTGTGCTGGTGCCAGAGGCATCGCAGCTGCCGACCATCAGGTTTTCATTTGCAGCTGCAGGGCAGAGCTGTGGGCTGGCAAACACTCTGCTGGGGAAACGCAGGGGAAAACCCAGGGGACTCGGCAAGAAAAGTGAGAGCAACCTGGCTGGTTTTGGAGGAAACTTGGAAAAGGGAAATCCACAGCCAGAAATAAAACCTCCCCCTATCCATTTCCAGCCAAGACAAGTTCACTGCCACCAACAGAACCAGGCTCTTGACCAGGACCTGTGGCCACCATGGTTGTCCCTAGACCCGCAGGGACTTCACCCAGAGCTCAGCAAAAATACTGTCAGCATCGAGATGCGGGGGAGCTGCGGCTCCTGTCCACTCCCACGTGTGCGCGATCACTGGCAGCCTGACACTGCCCACCATCATCTGCAAGTCCCTGACAACCTTTGATCCAGCAGCATCTAAAAATACAGCCAGGGGACATGCAGGGGCTTCTCCGCTGTTGTTTTCCCAGCTGCAGGATCAGTGTGACCCAGCCCCGGCTGTTCCTGGAGCCGGGAGGGCTCTCTGCCAGCGCAGGGTCACTGCTGACGCCAGCCCTGACCACTGCATCAAAAACAGGCAGCCGGGGACACAAGAGCTAAAAAAGCAGGAGCTCTGTGGGGCACAGCGAGCAGCTGCGCCCGGCAGACGAGGACCCTGGGTGCAGGGACATGGCTGCAAGCAACGAGGCTCCCAGCAGGAGCCCAGCCCCAGAGACTGTCCCCGATGCTGGGCTCACCACCTCACCCTCCCTCCACCCTAACATCCCAGTGATGTCCCAGGGGTCCCCCAGGGACCAGCACTGCAGCCAGAGCGTCTTCTCCACCCGCTGAGGGCTGCCATCACCCCCAGACAGGCGGGCTCCTCTCGCAGCACGCCAGCTCGTGACACAAGGTCTGGGAGCCTCGCGGGAGACAAAAGGGGATGCAGAGAGCCGAGGGGGATGATTTTGTAGAAAAGTAAAAATAAAAATGCAGGAATGGTGACCTCGGGCAGAGCCTGGGGGATCTGAATGGTGGCTCTGTGCCGGCAGAGGGGCAGGGCAGGAGGCCACATGCAGCCTGTCCCAGCAGCTACTCGTGACAAACAGGACATGGAGAAAAGGAGCAAAAGAGGAGGGTGAGCTCATGGGGTCAGAGGCCCTGGGGCAGCAGGGGCACCCGGGAGGCCCCCAGGAGCTCTGCCCTTTGCTGGGTAAGCTTGGTCCCCAGCACCCCTACTCCCATCTCCAAGCCTTGCTGTCTCAGGGCAGCAGGAGGGCACGGGGAGCTGCTTTGGGGTGCTACAGGGACATAGGGCTGGATCCAGCCATGCCGGGTGCATATGCAGGGTGGGCTAGTTTAGCACAGCTGATAAGAGCACCCCAGGGCCCAGGCTGGGAGCTGCTGCCCTCAGGCAGTCCATGGTGCCGGGGTGGTGGGGTCCCACTGGGCTTGGCTTCGCATCCTTCCCCTCCTGCTCGCCAGTGCCGCAGAGGGATCCTACCTGCTGGTGTGGGACCCGGTCAGCCACGCTGCCTCCCTCTTCACCCAGCTCCTGCGCCTTTCAGAAGGTGTATGAGCCCAAGTAAGTTCTTAGGCTCATTTCAGAGGTAACCAGGCAATTAAAGAAGGTCAGAGCATGAGCTCATACTCCCCTCACACTCAGGGAAACTATAAAAAGGCTGAAGCAGCGTATGTGAACTAATGCAATTAGAGGAGCAATTGGCCACTGGTGGGAAAGAGAGGAGCTGGCCCGGCAGGCCCCAATTTGCATTCAGGATCCCAGGCAGGTGGCTTGGACCAGGTTTGAGCTGAGGGCCAGCCCTGCACGGAGCTGTGGCAGTGCCTGCGGGTCCGGAGCCACGCAGTGGGCTGCAGCTGGGTGCTCCAGCCCTGCTCCCCACGGCCAAGCCGTCTGCCCACCTGGCATGGCTGCCGGTGCCTGAGCCCTTGCAGCACTTGTGATCTGTACTGGCGATGAAAGGGCTCTCACTTGCTCCCAAGGAAATGGGAAGCACGCGCAAAGTCCTCCCTGGCGCCGTCCTCCCTCCGAACAAGCCAGCAACCCAGCTGTACCTCCTCCCGTCTCAGCTTGTTTTCACAGAGTGTCCTTTGGCCGCTCGCTAATCCCTGGACAAATGTTCGTTATCAAGACTGCCCCGGTGGCTTGCGGCCCACGCTGCG